GAGCCTGGGTGGGTGTGCGCAGGGCTCCGGGCTGCCGCCGTGCCCCCTGCCCCGCCCTGGGGGGGAGGGCTGGGGGCCCTGGGGACAACACCCCCCGGCCCCAGGCAGCCAGAGCAGGGAAAGACCCAAACCTTGTATTGCACGTACGATTTCTACTGCGGGCGTATGTGGAGCCAGGGCAAACAGGAAAACTGGGTATTCTTATGCCTTAGCACTGTTTGCCATTTTAAATATCTGGCTAATAAACTATGGTTAACGTTATCACCATGGCTGCGGTGGCTCTGGGCTGTCTGTTCCTGTGTACCTGCAGCCTGATTTACTGGGGCTGATGTAGAAGATATAAAATCCAAAGGGAAGAGTCACTACCAGTGTTTGGTGGGGAAGGGCCACGTGTAGATTGTATGTTTCCAAACAGGATGGCTGCCATGGTTATTAATACATTTCCTCCCTGTCTCTTTGGTTTTATTATCACATATGGGGCCACCTGGTTCCTCTGTGGGACTCCCAAGACTTTTTGGCAAGCACATATGTTAAGATGTCTAGGGATTTTCCTCTTCAAGCCTTTCCACTACATCTTTTTTTTTTCTGGAAACCCTGCTTTAAAAAGTTCTCATGGACAGCTGTAACACAAACCTAGCTAGCAACAGTGTACTGTTATCGCTATCTGTCGACATTATAAGGCAGCGCTGAGAAAAATCCTGCTTCAGCTCCAGCTCAGGTGGCAGATGAAGAAAGCAAATGCACTTTGCATGGTGGTTCAGGCCCCGTGGCAGGTGGTGCAAGACAGATGCTTGTGGTCCCCTCAGCCTCTGAAGTGAGCATGTGGCATGGTATCTGAAGACAGAAGGAAATTTTAAATATGCTGAAAGCGAGAATTCATTCCTTTCAGGTCTTGAGATGTTAGAAACCCTTGAATTGTCTTGAATGCTCTGGGGTTTTTTTGTTTGTTTTGTTTTGTTTTTTTTTTTCCCTGTGCTGTATCAGTCAAGAACCTGCTTATGGAGCTGTTGAGCCTTCTTGGAAGATAAATGTGACCTGTAGAATCACATTTATCACAGTGTCTCTTGTAAGAAATACAGCTTGCTTTCAGTATAGCTGGATAATCTATAGAGACTCAAAACTGGAACAGTTCAGCAGTCAGTAACTTAGTGCGAAGGCCTTTGTGCAGGAGATGAAGCAATGACTAAAACAGAATCCATTTGCTTTAGATGGAAAGATTAATCATCATTTGAGAGAAGGATTGCTTCAAGTGTAAGGGAGAAAATTGTGCTTTGAGTAATAAAGTTAGCCAGAGAAAAAGCTCCAAATAAACTAAGTCCCAGGAGATACATTTCAAAGAAGTCTTATCTGTCTCTAAAATACTCCTCTTTGAGAGGTAGAGGCAGATGTGTAGTAGGGCTGAGCAGTCTCAAGGGATGGGTTGCACACTGGGGGACACTGCCTCTGGTTATCACTTCAAATTTTCCGATTTCAGAACATTCAAAACTTTCTATTGCTGCCAAATCTGTTTAACTGTAATGGAAAGTTATTCTTGTCTAACAAAACTGATTTCTTAATAAATAGTGAGGATTGGGCACAGCTTATGACTGTAGATATATCACAAAATATTCACTTCTGGAGGCCTCAGCTGTCAGACATAGGTATGTATGGGACTAGGGCTGAGCTTCCCTGTTGCTTTTGAGATTGATGACAGGGCATTATCTCAACAGCTTGGTTTCAAAGGCTGTATAATTAAAATGTCCTTCAAAAAACTTACAGCCTAAGCATCAGGAAAAGGCATACACAGATGAGACAAATGGCTTGGGGTGGACATAAGCTGTAGTATGAGGTCTAAGAGGATGTGGAACCACTTTGCTAGTAAATGTTCATGGTCTCAGTGCTCTGTCCTCCTGGCCACTGTCATGCTGCAAGTTCACCCCATGACTGAAGGAGCTGCTGGGGTTGGGGAGGGATTTCAGACAGGACAAAGCAGAGACTATAGTTTTTGGGAATGTGGTACGCAAGTAATGCTCTGCTATGCAGGGAGGATGAACTGAGGCTCTTCCAAAGCCAGAATTTTATGCTTCTGGCACTGAATGAGAGAGGCCAGGAGGGATGGAAGAAGGAGAGCTGGGATTTTTTGCATATCACTTGGATTTTTGTGCTACTTCTAAAAGGTTTAAAGGTTTGGTTAGAAGAAAAGTTTGGGTAGTGAAGAGGGTGGGATAAAAGGCTGGCATGTAGGAAAAATGGCAAGACTTTTCAGAGTTTTTTTTTTTTAAGAAAAACTCTGTATTTGGGAAACCTGTGCTTCACTAGGGTTAGTTTCTATCTGGCACTTAATTTTGATTTAATAACAGGCATAGAAGGAAAAAAAATATCTGAATGCTTTGTCTCAATTTCTTTTCTGAAAGAGATGCTTCACGCAGGAAATACAGATTTTTGAAAGAGTGAATAAGTGTAAGTAGAAAAGAGGACAGCAAATCAACAGATAGAAAAAAATCAAGAGAGGGTATGGAAGAGAGAAGACAAAAAAAATAAGAGAAAAAAGCCTTCAGAAGCAGAACTTAAATTTTATTTTAACATGGATATTCATTTATGCATAATATGCCTTAAATTTTGTAATGTTTCTGAGGGAACTAGCCCATAGTTCCATTGACTGGTGGTGGTTAGAAGACTGCGAATTCAGACTGCTTACCATTAGAAAGAATTGTCTGGCATTACTACTAATAGGTGAAGCTGGGGCAAGTTCTGCTCTTACAGCACCCACCCTGCTGTCTGCTGCATGTATAGGCTTGTTTGCTGACATCTCTCCTGCTGATAGTTCCAGAAAATGCCACACTGGTAGGGCACAGGTGGTGGCTGCTCCTGGCCTTTGCTCCCACCAACTCCAGATAAAGATCCTGGTGAAATGGGACAGATGCTGCTTTTCAAACAAGTTAGTAGGTCAAATTAAAAACCAAGCTCTCATCTCAGCTGGCTCAGTTCCTCATCTTCACTGCAGATTCACTTACGCTTGGATTATGAATTTTCTTTTCCCTCTTCCTGTTAGGATTTAGTCTCTGTTACAAAATCAGGGTATAAAAAAATTTCATGCCAGTGTAACAGGTAAAATAATCCTTGCAATTATTATTTCAGCTCAAGCTAAATTAAATTTAAGAATACCAAGAGTAGCTTCTGGAGTAACATAAATCTCACTTCAGGCTTTAGTGAATCCAGATTAGTATTTTCAGTTGGGAAGAGACATAATGAAGCCATGGCTGCTTGGAAAAATTCTAAAGATGAGTTACACCCTGCTAAAAGGAAATTGTTTTGATCCACAGCTTTTACTTCAGTGTAATAACCTCCGTAAACTTCTCTGAATGATTGTTTTCAAAGATTAATTCTGCAGAATTTAAGGTAGAAGCATTCTGTGACTGAAAATTTTACCAGGTCCCATGAACTTCCTATGGTGCTTGTGCCTCTGCTTTTTCTGTGATCAGGAGGAGGAGTGTGAAAGATATTGACCTACTTTAGATCAAAAGAAAACAGCTTTAGCAAATAATTAAAAAATAAATCCTGCTCTTTCAGAAAAATTCTTGCAGAACAATAGAGCAATATTTGAAGCTTAAAAATGATATATTTTAATTTCACTGTATTTTTCATTTAGAAAAACACTTGAAAAATGAAGACTCCACATTCATTAGGGAAATTGTGCAGTGTCTTGAAGATATTATTGCTGCTATTAAGAAATTGGTAAGAAAAATCTTGGTTTTGGTTTCAATATATGGGTGAGAGTTACTTGGTAACCATGAAATCAATCTTTTAGGGTTGTACTATTAGAAGTAGGCTGTAGCAGAACAAGCCAACCTGACCAGTATGGATTACACAACTGATCCAAGCCTTAGCTCACCTGCTGGTGTTTTAATAGGGGAACAGCAGACCTCATTCACAGGGGCTAGTGAAATCTGAGGCATGCCCAGACTCCTGTCAAAGTAAAAAGAGGAAGAGTCTGATGCTCAGCAGAGTAATTTGGGACTCAGGGTTGAATTTCTATTCCCATATCTATTGTGCCTTCATAGTTTTTGTGCAAGAATTGTACCTGGGGACTCTTCTTAGTTGTGCCCAATGATCAGACAAGGGGCAATGGACACAAACTAGAACACAGGGAGTTCTACCCAGACAGGAGGAAAAGCTTCCTTCCTCTGATGGTGACAGAGTCCTGGAACAGGCTGCCCGGGGAGGTGGAGTCACCTTCTCGGGAGAGATTCCAAACTCACCTGGGTGTGATCCTGGGCGCCCTGCTCTGGGTGACCCTGCTTTAGCAGAGGGGTTGGATGAGATGATCCCCTGAGGTCCCTTCCAACCCCAACCATTCCGTGGTTTTGTGATTCTGTGAAACGTAAGCTCTGAACCTACAGCAACAGTAGCAGCACCTCAAAAATCACTTAAAGGCAAAGGTCTACTTGTGTAGGGCCTTTTACATCATTAGGACTTTAACATTGTTGGTGCAAGGGAGGAAGATAACACTTCCCACTCCAGGCTGCTGTGAGGATACAGCCGCTGACGTTACTGCATTCTGCAGAGCTTTTTAGGTAGGTGGTTTGCCCTGTGACTAGGTGCAAAGGGATTTTTTTTTTAACAATTTGTCTTTCCTTGAAACAATTGCATGCTGTATGATTATAAGGGACCTTACAGCCCCTATGAGCTGAGGATGGCTGTTGATAAGTAGCTAACTTTTGCTGTAAGACCTCTGAAGCCATTAACACCAGAATGGATTCAAAGAGAAGGTGTTTCAAAAGTATCTCCATAATGTATTTGTCTAGGTAGGTGTAAATCTTGTAAAACTTTCTCCTTCAGTAGGCCTTTATATCATCTGTTTCACACTAGCTCTGCATTAGTCTATCAGATGAGTGTTTTATGTAACATGCTGAATTCATAAAGCTGTTTTCTTTCTCACTGCTTCAGCTAATTGAGGGTGTAACTCATGTGAAATTAAAACCTTTTATACATTTATTTTACACCTCTAAATATTTTATCTTCCCAAGGAAATGAGAGTAATTTATATGTGTGCATAGAGACTTTGCTCTGCAGATAGTAAAACACTACAGTGTCTTTTTTTTTCCCCTGTAGTGTCTCAGCTGGTGGTTGTAACTGCCAGCAAAACTGAAGGAGAGAGATAGAATTGGTTTTATGCAGAAGTTGTGATGCCAAACTCAACATCCATTTAAGAACCAATTTCTTCTCCCATTAACCCACCTACAATTCTCAGTCACATAAATCTGGGGATTCAGTTGTTCAAGGGATCCTCCCACAACCAGTTTAGTCTGTTTTCATACATTAACTATGAACCAGATGACTTTTTCTGTGTCTTAAGGCTAGCTGAGTCCTCCTTCTTCAGCAGAGCTTCAGGCCACAGGGAAATGAGGCTCTTCTGTTGCTTAAGTAACACCTTTCATGCACTATGGCAGAAGGTGACAGCTGAGACTTTCCTGGCCAGCACAGCTTTTGCAGCAGAGATGTAAGCAACAGCTTCCTAGAGACTGTTAACAGTCAGAAGCCAACAGTTCCTGGAGCCATATAGATTTGTTCCGCTACCTGTAAAACAAGTTACTTCTTATTTTGAAAGTGAAAGAAAGAAGTGAGAGTGAAAGAAAGAAGTGAGATTGAAAGAAAGAAGGAAAAATGAGCAACTATGAGCTTGTTGCTTGTTGAATGGTTTTGGAAGGAAGGAAGAAGGGCCTTTTCAGTTGTTACATACTTGGTTCTCCCTTGTGGATTTTTAATTTTCAGGAAGAAATTCGAAGGCACACCCTTGAAAGCTTAGAAGAGGAGACTATAAAAGCCAGCAATCTTCGCTTCAGAATTCAGAAATTTCCAGGAGAGATTGCTGCAGAGATGACAGGTAGTACTGACTTAACCAGCTCTGAAAAAAAAAACAAACAAAAACAGACAACCAAACAAGAGAATTGAATTTTCTATACATTTGCAATTTGAAGTATTCTATAAAATAAATCTTACTGCCAAAGGTAAATCACTTTCAGTAATAACTCATTAATGACAGATGGATGTTTGCTGATGAATGATACTGTGAGGGATTATTCTGTCACATAAGAGTGTAAATGAGAGATTATCTTCACTGAAGACCATGCACAAGCACTAGAGGAATGACTGTTAAATCTCCAGCACTCAGTTCTGATCCCGGGTATGCCACAGCCTTTCTCTGGAGCTTGAGGTAGAGACTTGAGTGTTTTGTGTGCAAGGTCCCTTTTGGTGAAGCAGGGAGAGTGATGTGACATTACTTTTGGGTGGGGTTCATCTGACCAAGTTTATCAGCTCTTTCTTTTAGACACTGAAGAGAAAGAGGCACTTCTAGGCATGGTTCATCTCACCCTAGAATAGATGTTTAAAGCAAGTCAGAAGAATCTAGAGCTGGAAGTACTCTTTCTCTCCACTGGCTATAATGTAGGTAGAAACGAGCCCTATTTCGCTTTTTTTCTTGGGTATGGCTTGACTTTTAAGATGACCAAGTCATATTCTGCTGCCATCCTTCTGTTTCCACTCCAGTCACAAAGTGGTCAGCAAGCTGATCGAGATGAATGTTAAGATTTCTTCTTTTTGGGAGAAGCAAAGGAGCTCGAGTTCTTTATCTGGCTAACCATGAGGCTGCAGAATTATTAGTGGTGGCACAGGAGGAGGGATGACAATGTGCCAGGGTGGTCAGGGAGAGCAGGACTGCTCCTTTTGGAGTACTAGAGTTAGATCAGCTTCAGGTTCATCATGAAACAGCAACCAGAGCATTTCCTTTTATTTATTTTTTTCCCCCTAGATACATTCTGTATTTGTTGATTACTTTCTTACAGGCGGTTTTGTCCCTCAGCTTCTCTCTGCCCATGGCATGTGGTTTCTGTGCAGTTCATTGGTTGTTTACACTAGCTGCTCCCATTCTGCACTGCCAAAGTGTCTTTGCATGGGTGGATGTACACTAATGTGACTATTATCTCAGAGGCTGAAAAAAATGCTGTAGTCCAACGCCCCTGCACAGAGGAGCTTTATCCCCAGTGCCTCTTCATGCAGGCTCTTGGTTTTGCACAGCGGTGGTTCTGCTGGGATAAATGCTGCTGAATTCCAAGCCAGGTGATCCTGTGCCTTGTCCCTGGCTGCCAGAGCTGGTTGTGCAATTTTTTTTGGGGGGGAAAGGAGTAACTTTTACCAGTTCACTATATGTCTAGTGAATTTCTTAGGCATAAAGTGTGAAAAAGAGCAATTGTTCTGTGAGAACACAGCAGGCTTCTTCTTGCTGATAAATGCAGCTGACTCAGGGAAAATGTGGTTAGAGTAAGCTACTGAAATAAAATATGTGATTTCAGGGACGTTTGTGTCTTAGAATCACACCTATCCCTTACTGGGTGACAACACCAACAGCAGTGAATTAAAGATATGGATCAATCCCTTAATGCATTATCTCATATGTACCTTTTTATAGCTAAGAAGCTTCTGCATATTTTGTATTGATATTTTAGCTCTTGTTACTGCTGCACGTGAATCTAATGCTGCTGAGATCCATCAGCTGCAGTCTGCATTGAAAAGCATTGCTGATGAAATTGGACTACTGGAGGCAAAGCAAACCCTTTGTGAAAGACAGAATGCTGCACTGTGGTATGTATTCATCTGCACAAGGGAAACCATACAGGAGAGACGACTGAGGAGAACAGAAATGTTATCAAAACATGATGAGCAGTGCTCAGCCCTCACCCCTGCAGCTAGCTACAAATGTTCCTAGGCAACTCTTTGCTGCAGCAGCAAGTCTGATTTTTAAGATGTGTCTTGAACAGCAGAGTTGGCCTGCTTCTGCCTGTCCTCTGATGTGCATGCTTAGGGAAAACTGTCTGCAGCTTTGCTTCTCACACTGGCAGGGAAATCCTTCTCTTTCAGTTGTTAATGTTAAGGAACTACTTCAGGCAAAAGTCATAATTTTCAGTTAAAAAAAAAAAAAAAGAGAGCTGTGGAAGGAATTGAGAATCAATAACTGTGCTAGAGATCCATCTTCCTCTTTAAGAATTCTCCCAGGAGGATACAGAGACTTGGGAGATGCTTGTTTTCTCCCTGCCAGATTTAATGTTACTGCCACCTTCTGCCATGCTGCTAGAGCTGTTCAAAAATAAATCACAATGCATTTTCTTAGGGGAAGCCTGCTCTCTTCATTCTTTCAGTGCTTGCAAGCAGCCTTTCCATTTTTAATGAAACTTGTGGAAAATAATCACATCAGCAGAAGTAAAACTTTGAAAAAGTTATAATACAAATAACTGAAAGCTGCTCTATTGGAATGCAAGGCCTTAGATGGTCTTCGTCATGTACCACTGCAGGTCTTAGCCTGGACTATGTGTAGTGCTATAGTAGACTGAGTTGCTAACATACAGATAAGGGAATATTCATTTCAAAGAACATCTGAACTGAGTCTTTGATCTGTGTGAATGGTAGGAAATACCACTTTCCACTTTATTTTTTCTTTTCCAGTGAGGAACGAGAATACTTGCAGACACAGTATAAAAAAAGAGAAGATTTGCTGAACGAAAGGATGACAACCAAAGTTAACACATATGTTCTCTTAAATGAAACTTGTGATAAAATAAGAGATGCAGAAGGAGAAATAATCAGGGCAAAGGCAGCATTAGCAGAATTGAAAGAAAAAAGAGCTGAAAAACTGAGTAAACTTGAGAAAGAGAAAGAAGAATGTGATAAAAAGGTAAAGGTTTTGAAACGTACTTCACAGTTTTACAGACAGCTATATAGTGCCAAAACCAAAATTACCTTGGAAATTGTTCCAGATGTTGTATTTTCCTTTCTCATTTGGAGCTAACATATGTCTCCACAGCAGCACAAACAGAAAAGTGACTCTTCTGACACTGAGTGCACACATGCTGTGTTCTGTACTCACGTGCTTACGTGGGGGGGGTGTATACAGATACACACACACAAGCATGCACACATCAAAATTGGATGGTATATGGCATTTATTTTCCAACAGCACATATCAGAGTGTCTTGTCTGTATTGATGCTTCTTACTGACTGTGGGACAAATAATCATGCACTGGGAATTCGACCCCTCCAAGCAAACTGGTTAAATTAAAGGTACCTATAGTTTTCAGCAAGCTCCAAGAGAGCTGGCTTTTATATTCTGCCTCTCTCCAGCTGTGTATATTTGATATCCTTTCTGAATAATAACATAAAATCAGTTGATCAGATTAAAAAAAAAACTTTGTAGTAGAAAATACAGTATAATCAGGTTCCTACACTGGAATAAAATCACATGAAGTTTTAACAGATCAGGTCCTCATTTGCATGTTATATTAATTATTATTTCTTTTTCTTACAGAATTTTTGTCAATTGGTATGTAGCTGGGGCTTTTGCAGAAAATTATTTTCTTCCAGTGTAAATTTTGTGCTCATTTAGTTTTGGAAGGCTTCTGTTGGCTTTGTATCAATTTTTAAATAACTCACAGTACATTGTTCAATTACTTGTATTATTTTTAATGTAGAAGAGAGAAATGAAAAATCTGCTTGATAGTCAGGAGGCAAAAACTTCCCAGAAAAAGCATGAATTTGAAAACTTGAATGTAAAGTTTTTGGACCTGCAGCATTTGATAAATCTGACTTCAACAGTAAGTGATATACAAAATTGTTCTGGTTCATTAGCACAAAGATGAAAACTCCATTTCATAACTGATCAAAGGAAAAGGATTTATACAGAAATGTAGTTGCTGCCTCTTCAGAAGAAAAATAAGCTTGCATGATGTCTAATTGACTGGTGTTATTAACTGTTAGTTACTCAATTATAAAGTCAAATATAAAGTAGATTGTGATCTATTTATCATAACATTGTTAAAGGGAAGATTAATAAAAGCCAGTGAGAAGATGACTTGGATCCCAGTCCTGCACAAGTCTCTGGTGGAGATGGTTAGTGGACTAGCTGAGAAAGAGAAACGATAACCAACAGATACTCAGTAGATGCAAATTAGGTCATGATATAAGGGGAAGACATAGGAAGAAATTTAGAAAAGCAGACTCTGTTCAGATATTATGGAAGAGTTTGTACTGGAAAAGTGTTGTAGAAACTAAAATAGGCAAGAAGACCATATTATGCTCAGCTTCCTGAGAATGTACTCAGCTGTGTAAGTAACTCCACACTGGTGGACATCACAATTTTAAGGAGGCTCAGGATTTGGAAAGTCAAAACTAATAGGGTTAGAAGACAACCAGGCTTTCTCTGTGTGCCATCTGTTTAGTACTGGCTTCCAGTTCAACCCTGCTTACTCTGGAACTATTTTCCCTTTTTGCAGGCATAACTTACCAGAGGAAGGTAAAGGAAGGTCAATGTCTTTATCTTGCCTTTTATGATTTCTTGCAGTGTTAAACTATTTGCATTCAGTTTAACATCTGCTGAGTAACCTCAGCACTACTGAAAGCAACTCTACTGCAGAACAAAAACTTGGATTCTGAGTTGAGCCAAAATCAGATGTAAAACATCATTTTTTGCCCCAGTCTTGACAGCTTCTGTTGGAAGCACTGCTGCCTTCTCAGTAAAAGTCCTTTCTGTCTGAACGAATTAATAAAAATTCCAGAGTTGTATCTGAGTTAACTCTGCAGTGAGATTCCCTTAAATGACAGACTTCATAGGTTAATTTTTTCAAGTTTCTTTTCATTACTAACCTACACTGATTTTTTTTTCCCCAACTTTCAGTGACTAAATACAATAAATGCAACCTTAACCACTGTTACCTCAATATCCTTTCTTTGCAGGCTGTAGTAATTTTCACTGTGAAATCTCAGAGTGGCTAGAAAATAGTAGAGTCTCATGCAGATGTTCTGAAATATTAAAAAAAAAAAAGAGACCAGTGTCAGTAAAGGGATTAATTATCTGCTGGTTTGGAAATTTCATGTTTTGACATAGTCTGTTATATTTTTATAGGCTATATTTAATGAGGAAGTTCTCACAGAAAAAATGAAGGAAAAAAGCAAGCAACTGGAAAAAAAAGTTGAATTAAAAAAGACAGACATGCAGACATCCTCCAAAAAGAAGTAAGAATTATTAGACCACGTAATGTGATCTTTTTGCTAAACCCCACATCAGTGTTTTCTGAGGGAATTTTTCCTCAATATTTAAGGAGAAACAGCAAAATTCTATGAAGTATGTGAATTATGTAATGAGAATCTTGTTATTGATTTCAGTGGGCATACAGTAAATACTTGGAGGAGAGCTGGAGTTAATCTAAATTTTCTGTCAGGGAACAAATATTCACAATCCAAGCCCTTTGGACTAGAGTTATGCTGTTACTCTGACAATATACATGGTAGGAAAGTCAGTCACTGCTTCCTGCATCATTGCCCTGTCAACTGGAACACTCACATTTCCTATGGCACATGGATTTCTTCTGTATGCTACCTGAGATGCAGAGCATCACAAACGATGTGAACACACAAAATAATGCAAATATTGTTCTCTGCACTTGTCTGTGTTCCACCCATGGAGCTCAACGTGGAGAACCTCAGTGTAGCATTGTTCAGGCTAGTTCCATAGCTTCTTCTCTGCTGAGTCTGCTATGAGCCCTCTGAAGGGTTATACAGCCAAAGTGATGGAGGAAAAAAATTAAGACTCTTCCTGGTGATTCAAATTTCTTGTTTGAACCCATTTCCTTCTGCAAACTGAGCTATGAATCCCTTCAAAGAAAACAACATGAGTTCTTGGAAACTTGCATAAAGTTATTGCTCTGAACTCCACTATTGTTCTTCATGGCAGAGCTAATTCATTAATGTCTTCATGAAATGGATGTTACCATTAATTAACAATGTAATTACTGTAAAAAATGAGCTGCAGCCAGCATCCGGCCAAGGCCTTTGATCCTGTAGGCAGTTATAAATTGCTTATCTTTACCTTCCTGAATATTAATTTCAGCAGAGGTATTTGTGCTAGGGAAGTTGACCATAGTCATGTTTTGAGGGTCCAAACAGTTATGATCTGATGATGGCCACAGAGCTGTGGGCTATGGTGAGTTTCATAGCCTGGGTGTACAGCAGCATTATCTTTTTGTTCTTTTTGTGTGTTGTTGTTTTTTTTTTTTTTTTTTTTTTTCAAATAGCTGCTCAGTTATGAATGTCTCTGTTTCAGAGTGTTTGGCCTTTTTAACTTACTCTACCACTTGATGTAACAGATGAGTTAGTTAGCTGTGTTAAGGAAGGGATCTGGTCGGTGTGTTTTTTTCCTTCATGGTGTTTGGTACATGCTCTCAAAACCTGCTCAGTATGGATTCGTGGTTCTGTATTTGTTTGTCATAAGATTCCTAGATTGCTGGATCTATTCCTCTTTTTTATATCCTCTTCTCCTGTGTATCAGATTTCTTTCTTCAAACAGTTCTTTATATAGGCTCATGCTTCTTGCATGACTCCTGTTGTGTACAAAAGATATAAAAAGGGAGTATCCCTTGTCTGGGATACCAGCCTAGCCTGCCACGAGACAGGAAAACAGGCCAATTTAGTGCACCTTGGGAGAAAGTTTAAGATGTTTGAGACCATGAGATGCTTGTGCTGCTTCTGGGGGTGGAGGTCTGCTGAGCTGGTCTGCCAAACAGCTGAAGGAGGGAGTCTTGTGAAGATAAGATGGTCCTATTTTGGCTAAACCAACCAAACCAAACAACTCTTACCTCTTGAAGGCTATAGTGTCTGAGTGAAGAGCTTTGCCTAATTAACAGCAAAATTTATTATTAAAGTTTACACCTCTACATGTGATAATGAGCATAATGGACTACATGCTAAACATACACAAATATGTTATTCAACCCTTCACCCAGATCATGCCAAACATCATCTAGAATAGAACTCTAACATATGTATAGAATCATAGAATCATAGAATCATAGGGGTTGGAAGGGACCTCGAAAGATCATCTAGTCCAACCCCCCTGCCAGAGCAGAATCACCTAGAGCATATCACACAGGACACAGCTCTGTAGACAGAGCTTATGTTCACATGAGGGGCCTGAGAATAAGAATGCATGAATTTTTATTAGTTCTTTTAAATATTGTTTTTTAATTCCCTCCTAAATACATCTACATTGGCTTTATTTAGTAGGATTCAGCCTGAATCTGAGTTACTGCTTTTAGAATCAAAAATCACCCAAGAAGAGGAGGATTTCGATTCAGAAATAGAAAAGGTAAGAGATATTTTTATTTTGGCTCAGAGATTTTACTAGGCCTGGTCTTGTTGAAATGCTCAATGAGAACAGGCCTGCCCAAAGTGTGACAAGTGAGGTGTTTTAGGTGCTTTGCCTGTGTCTCTGTGCTTGATGTGTGGGAGCAGGGGAAAGGGCCACAAACATTTGCAAGACGTGTGGCTTCAACCTTCTACTCTACTTGGGCTTTGGAGGTCATGCTGGAGGTAGGGGCAAGATCTGCTCTTCATGAGGCCATGGGAGGATGCTGAAAGACTTAAGGGCACTGAGAGGTGGGGTAAGCTTGAGGGTGTGGTTTTGTGTGCTGGCATGCAAATGAATGGAGGGTTATGAGATGCTGAATTGAAAGGAACTACATATTCAGTTAGAGAATGGGGCAGACAGATATATGTAGGAGGATGGTGGGAAGATTTGTTAACAAGGATGAAGTTGGGCTCCTGGTCTGGAAAGCTGAGTGTGCAGTTTTCATAGCTACTCTTTACATTCTTATTAACTTCTACTGTATCTGAGGAAAATCCAACTAGTGGTGGCACTCCACCTGCCGAACCTGTGAAGAACCACCATCAAGTTGAGATTATTGTTATTATGCAGTCTACACACATCCAGCAGAGAGTTATGTTCATAACCTCTCCTCCAGAGGTGCATGCATGAAGTAAGATGTTGGTTCATTAAGAACTCTGCCACACTGATGTTAGGCAGCAATTGGTGGGAGCCACATACTCCCTTTCCCATGGCCACCCCCCTTCCTCTTCTGCTGCATTCCTACCATGAAAAGCCAAGACCTCAATCATCATCTTCCTATTTCCTTTTTCTCTTCCATCTTCTTGCTTCTGTCTCCTTCAGCTGGGACCCATGACTCCTTCTTCCCTCCATCCTGATATTCCATGTCTATAATTCCAGGGTTTCTTCATCATCAAGCCTTCTCCATTTCCACTTTTTTAGTCTCTATAGTCCATGTGGTAGAAGTCACTGTGTCCAGCTGGAGCCAGCTACGTGTGTCTGGCAGCAGCACGCAGCTTGCAGGTTGTTTCAGAGTGGTTGCTTTGAAAGAGGCCATGGAAATGAAGATCCAGAAACATGATCTTGCTGTGGTATTCCTATGTATTAATTACAAACAGGCTGTGAATCTTGATTCACTGTAAAAGTCTCTAAGATTTTTTTATTAAAGTCAATATAGAATATTAATATAAGGTAAAACAGAGACAGAAATAATAGTAGGCTAATGTCTGTGGTTCTTATTTCCAGACTAATGAAGATCTAAGCAATGCTAAATGCCTCAATAAAAAACTTGAATTAAAAAATAAAGCCATGAACCAAAAGTATGAACAAGCACTGGAAGAAGAACAACACTGGGCTGCAAAAAGGGTTAAGATGGAGGCGAAGTAGGTTTTACCTGTCAGCTTTTGAACTTCTGATTTTATGACTTTTTGAGTTTGTGATTTTATGACTAAGGCTTTTCTCGATACATAGTGAGATCATGTTTGTGACAATCTAACATTTCTTTTTTTCTTCTGGTAGATTGAAGAATTTATCTGCTTTGTTGCATGAAAAGCTGGAATTTCTGGCAAACCTTAAGATGGAAAAGAAAAACTTAGAGAAAGAAATCAGCAATCTTGAAGACAGCCTACAGTATGTAATTTTTCAATGTTGACAATAGTAAATGGTCTCAGTGCTATTTACTCAGGAGTTCATCTGATTTAAGAGATTCTGAAATGTAGCATTCAATAGGGAAGTTGAATGGCTTTATAAATAAACTAGTAGGCTGGTATGAAACTTCATGCAACAGAGGTTAGCTGCCAGTTACTCTAATTTCATCTGCAGTTTCTTATCACCAGGCAATGAACATACAAATAATGAAGGATATTGAGGCAGTGCAGAACACAGAACTTCACAAACAGCTGTGGCTGTGAACTCTGTACCGTGGTACCAGGTCTTGGACCAAGCCACTATCCCTCTGTGGTGGCATCTGGGAAAATCTGCTTTTACCCAGGTAGATCTAAGTAAGCACAGGTTTGTCCTGTGTACAGAAGTGCTCTGAAAAAGAAAAAGTCTTTGGCTTGTGTAGTCTAATCAGAGCAGTCATCCTGTGTCCTCTGCAGTGGGCATGGCTGGGAGGAGCGTGGCCGAAGCACTGCAGCTCTCTGTGAGCCTGGTGCTGGTGGAAGATTTGGGATTTTGCTGCCCTAGGTGAGGGCAGGCACCTGTGTGCTGTTCTACTTTGGACCCAGCCCACCTATTTTCTGGAGAATCAGGAGATCAAGGCCTTCCATTGTACAGCAACAATCAAATTCTGTCCCATAAGAAGGGTAACCTTGACAAAAGGGAGATCTTTTGTCTCTGCTGGAGTGTCACCCTCTGCAAGAGGAAGTCAAAAGGTTCAGCTAATTAATTTTACATTCCCCCAGACCTAGCAGAGCCAAATACTTGCACACACTCCATGTTCTGAGTGACACCAGTTGTGCTGGTTCTGTGCAACATTTCTGTGGTGTGGCACTGAAGGGGCTGTGCTCCTAGGGACTTCTTGATACCTAAATCCTCCTGAGGAATGTTTTTTTAATATGGAGTTGTCCTACTTATGGATATAATTGCAACTAAAAAGTAAGAAAATAATTCCTCACCTCCCTTTTCATGCTGAATAAGAAAACGTGCAATATATTTATTCTGCTTTGTAGGAATGGAAGTATATTTCTATTTTGATAGAATCAGTGTCTGCATTTTTCCTGACAAAGGAGATATTGTTGCCATGTAAATGTAGGATGCAAAAAATAAGACGAAGACTGATAAAAAGGAGGTAACCATGCCTGCTAAATGAGGAGAATTTGTGCAATGGAATCTACAGTATAAAACTAAGTTAACAGGATAATGAGGTGAAATAATCATCACAGAGTATCTTGATGCTAATTGGATATCTACACTTATGATAGTAAAGGAAAGGGGTGTAAGAGCTTTCTCACAGAGTCACTCAGCTCTTCATTACAGACTTAAACTAGACTACATACATGGAACTGTACACTGCAGCTCTGACATTTTAGGAAAAATGATAGAAAAATCCCCTTCTGCCAGTTCCTGTCTCTGTACTTTCCTGGAGTTTTATTCTATGTTTGTACATAATTATCTTGTTCTGTGAATTTTCACTGACTTCACAACATGCCTCTATAGAAAACCCCAAATAATTTCATTTCACTGTACATCACACAGACCTCACAGTCACTTTAACGGGGCCACCAAACTGGAAATCAAAATCTTATTAATATTTATTTTCTCTGAAAGTAACATGCAATGTATTCAGAACCTCACTATTTACCTTACAAAATTGACTGATTTTTTTTTATTTTTTTTTTTTTTTAGTGAACAATTTCAAATTAAATCTCTTAGGTTTCATTCAAAGAGAACAATCTTCAACTGATTAAACTCACTGAACTAGGAATCCTGCTGACTTGGCAATAGTTTTAGAAAGTATGAACTAGAAATAGTATGAATTTCCAGGGGTATCTAGGAATGTGTCCCAAATCATTCTACTGCTATTAAAATGTCTTGCAGCACTGGCTTGATAAATTTTGCTTTGCATTTAGAGCAATAAAACCTTTGGAAGGAAGCCCCACATTACTTCTTTGTAAATCCTCATGGGGATTGGAGTAGGAGCTTCCCACCACCTTTGTATCTTGAAGGAGTGAGAATCACTGGTTTCACACTACCAAGCTTTTTATTGCATTGAACTCCTGTAGAATTGGTTGAATACATATATAGGTAATTTATTTTAATATTTACCACCCATAATACAATAGAAAATACATACTAAGAAATTAAAATTATTTGATCTGTCCATTTGGCAAGAAGTTCTTCTTCTGAAAATACTCTTTTGTGTGCTTGCTGGTAATATGCTAGAGTAATTGCTCATGTCTGAAACCTTTGTTCCTGTGGTTTGCATTTATTTATTGTTTCTGGCTTGAAAAAAATTACTCCTGTGTTTGCCTTCATTCCAGACGAAAGCCTCTTAAATTTAAACTGTTTCCAACACAAGAAGCAATGTGTGAACACAGAGCTATGGTTGAACACTGTATTATGTGTAGGTTTTTGAGATGTGACTCATAGGTACTATATTGTCTTCCTCCAGCTAGTGTAAGTATTCTGCATGTTGGTTGGTGGGAAGAAAATTTTGAAAACTTCTACCAAAATTTTGACAAAAAGTAAGCACACTCCAAATCTTCAGCATTATTTCTGAAAGTTTATCTTTTTGTCCCCTCAAGAAATATGAAGGACAGCTGGGCAGAAGAGCTGGTGTCTCTTATGCAAGATTTGAAGACAGAAAGTAAGACGAGGTAGGATAAACTAGAAAGTGTGCATTGTATCTTTAAAACAAAGCATCAAATTCATGAATTTCTGCATCTTGTTGCTGCAGTCAGAGATATGAACCAAAGCCTTAATGATATAAATATTCACTGATATAATGGCAAATAAAAGGGCATCTCCACAAGTATATCCATGGTTTCACTGGAATATCATTGATATACTGCCAAGTGGTGAGAACTACTGAACTCACTGTTTAAGTGGCTTTAAAATCATTATGGCAGTAAATGTTCTACTTTCTAAGCAATTTGGGACTTTCCCAGGGTATGGACACCTATGTAAACTGTAAATCTGGGGTATGTCTGTGTTATTTATTTTAATTAATTTCAATTAGTGTTCTTTGGTAGCTGATCCTGCACCTTTGAGGTCAATGAAAGCTTTGTTATTGGATTCAATGAGAAAAAAGAGTCTCAGTTCCCTATGGTATCAAACACCCACAGCTCCAACTAGTATGGGAGCTTTCTGTGCTGAGCACCTTTCAAAATCAGGTCCTCAGGCTGGTGGAATCTGGTTTTCCAGACTTCATATAGAAAAATCTTTTAACAAAGACAGTAAGAATGAGATGCCCTTGCATTTTCAGGTATTTCATGTTTTTAACTTGGATTTAGGTATTTTTCATTAGTTGAGCAGTGCCTTCTACTGAACCTGCCTTCTTAGGAAAGTTTCAGAGAATTGTAAGGAGCATGTTACACAAAGGTCACAAAAAGACTAAAGGTAATTTTGTCTATATTCAGAACATCTTCCCCGAAGTAGTTTGCATCACTCTTCGTATAGTCACATGTCTACCGACAGTGGTGCGAGGTACCACTGACACCCGTGAGGAAAAAGCCTTGAGTTGAATAAAACTAAGTGAATGATTGGAGTTAAAGTAAGAGTGATATAAAGTTTTCTTGCTAGTTTTGAATTTATCAGCAATGGACAGAGTTTAACTGAAGCTCTTGGGCATCTGTTCATCCTTTTGTCTAAGCTCAGTTTTGTGTGTCTGGTTCCTGAGGTGCTATCATTCCATACCGACACGGAGACACCTTCTTGTCAGAGCATTAAGACCTAAGTGCTCAATAGGTTCTGTCGTTCTCTTCTTTCACAAGTATCTTCTTGTAACTTAGTTCCCCAATAGAACTTTTACCTCCTCTTTATTATTGGTAAAAAAAAATAGCAGATTCATGAAAGTGCCATTGATAGGATACCATCCAAAGTAAACCCATTGTCTGCTCAGCTACTTCAGAGCTCTGCAGCTCTGACTTCCCATTTGATGATTCTGCCATGTAAGGTGCAAAGAGGTCTGGAGATTTCTGGGTCACCTAGTCCAGTCTGGTTCTCCTCTGAATATGAAATCATAATTTTGTCTTCAGAAAATAATCATGCTCAATTCAAAAAGCCAAAACAATATTGTTCTCTCCCCTTACTCTCATTAAGATATCATATCTAAAATCTTATTCTTTTGATAATGAAGAACAGGCATTTTCTGACTTCCAGTCTGCATTTTCACATAGACAGCTAGTGAATTTTCTGTTTCGTATCTCTGTTGTCTTTTATCCTTTTCATAGTTTACAAAACCTTGAGGTTTATGAACAAAAATCTTGTCACTTCCAACCTCCCAATTTACTAAGCTAAATCAACCAAATTATTTGTTCCAGACTTATAATAACTGATTTTAGGCACATAACAGTGGCACTCAAGTGAGACTAGTCACATTAAGACGACTCCTCCAGCCTCTACACAAAGAGCGAGACACTTTAAAAGGTTTTAAGTCTTTTCATGCATCTCTCCTAGATTTTTTCAGGATCCCAGACTTCATTTTTAACCACTTTGTAGTTCTGAAGTTACAGGATGTAGTTTTGAGTCTTCTGGGCTTCCAGTGCCTCTGATAACGTTGTCTCCCTTCTCTGTTTTTCTCCCAATTTCAATTTATTTCTGCGTATTTTTCTGTCACTAGAGTAGTGCTTCAGTGGAAGCTACTGTACTTAGCAATGCAGAGAAAACTCTTTTTCTCAGAGGAGGAGAAGATAAACAGAAAAGTTAATGAGAGAATAGATGCTCACCAAAAAAGGCATTCTGAACTACTTGTGGAGGTACGTTAAACCACAGGTACTATAAGCCATTACACCCACTGTTACAATACACATTCATGCTGTACATACTCAGAGTAAACTGTTACCTGAGTAAGTAACCTCCAAGGGCCAGCTCTTTGTAAATTATTAAATGTGGTATCAGGTCTAAAGATCTGCAGTATCTAAATATCTCTCCTCTTGGAGGCATTCAAAAACCATTTCGACACAGACTTGGGCAGCTTCCTCTGAGTGGCCCTTCTTGAGCAAGGTAGTTGGACAAGATAACCTCCAGAGGTCTCTTCCAACCTCAGCTATTCTTTGATTCTGTGATCTGACCTTAACTCCTATTCATAATTTTAAAAACAATTATTTATCTTAGCAGATGTTGTGTATTAAATGCAGATTGCTCTCCTTTTGCTTATTTTTGAGTGGTCCAAGTAGACATTACATATTTCAGAAATCACTGACCTTCATTTTGCTTTCCATTATGAGATTGAAGACCTTGAGAAAGAGCTTTTGCAGTCTGAAAAGCAAATCAAAGCCCTGAGTGAAGAAGCAAGTAAGAGGGAAAATGATTACAGGACTTATAATGAGGGGTTTACTAACAAAATAAAATGTCTGGAGGTAAGTTTTATTGTCCTTTTTACTAACCTTGGGAAGATTTCTGATGGATGTTTGATGATGTTTGTTGCACCTCATTGCAGCTATGCTCATTGGAGCCATGTTTAAATGTGACGAATCTGTCAGTAATTGTTTCAAGAAAATTCTCTACTTTTCACATTGGTGTTTTTGGGATTTTTATGGTCAAAAGCACTTACTTATGTGTAGATACATATGTATATTCATGAAGTAGATGACCTTTAAAGGTGCCCTCCAACCCAAAACATTCTGTGATTCTATGATTCTCTTCCTAAAGTAGTTGAGCTATGCAGAGTATACAAAAGAGATGCTGAATATACCTCAACACTCTGTCTTTTCTTTGATATGATTCATTCTTAAAGAGTTTTTCCCTCATCTAATATAGTGCTGATGAAACTGTTACCAGAGGGTTGCTCTTTCCTTTGTGGCCTGGACAAAACCAGGTTGCAAAAGTAATTGTAACTGTTTATTTTCATGCCGTGACACACTCTAACATTTTCTCCTATTTTAACTTTTTCTGCTTTGCTTTCATTTCCTACCATTCTGATGAAACAATTGAAGTTGGGTTTTTTTTTATCCTGTTTTGCTTTTGGAGCTTTCAGCATTTTCTTGCACTTGCTCTCCACTATTTTCATCTGCAAAATGATTCTGTCTGAATGCTGTCTCACAGAGGTGGTCTGTGTAAGAGGAATAAATTCCTTTGTAAGTGTCCTGTCACATCAGATTCATTCTGCTCTGTCTGGAGCATCAGTGGTGATGCATGATATCAAAGTAGTTCATAGAAATGAGATTCAGATCACCTTCATTTCTCTGCCTTCTTCACAGATCTGTTTCTGCCACAGGAGCCATTTGGGCTGTTCTCCTCCATATTTTCTTTTTTTTTTCATTCTTTTTACCCATCCTTTTGCTACAGTCCTCAAAAAGAAAAACAAAACTCACCAAGAAATACAGCTCATGAGTATATCCAAATATCTATACTTCAAGGTTTTCTGATATTTCTAGTGTTTGATCATGGCAGTGGATATGACTTACCTGACTTCAGAGTCTCAGAGGGAACAACAACGTGTAGTGCAGCACTTGACATTAATGTCCTGTAAAGAAGCAAGTTCAGTGTCTTGGTGTTACTTCACATCCTGGGCCTTGTTTCATTTCTTTCTAGGGCTTTATTTCCTGAGTATCATCTAGTATCTCTCAATATTGTTCTTCAAGTCTCCAATCCATAGTGTTTTTTCCTATTATCCCTTTCTATATTTTTACCTATTGCAGCAGAAGAGAGACATTTTTCCATTGAAAACTCATTTAGCTCATGACTTGTGTTCCTTTGACACTAACCAAGATGAGATTACACTGTGCTGAGAGATGCACACACATTGAATGAGACTTTTTTTTTTTTTCTTGCTTTAAAACCAAAGGTCAGGCATAAAGATTAAAATGTACAGATTTGTAACATATTTAGGTGATGATCTGCTTAATCTTTAATAGCTAATAGTTCTTCTTCCCCACGTTGATGTAAGAGTGTTCAGAAATTCCCAGGCTGGTAAGTCTGTGCAGCCCTGTTATCAGAGGAGGCACAGCTCAGATCCAGGACCATGGTAGCTACATTTGTATTAAACAAACACTAGTATGAATGAAAAAATATGCTTTTGACTGGGCATGGAGCCTGAGACAGGTCAAGGCACAGAATGAATGACCTGATGATAGGAGAGGATGTGCAAGCCCTCCGTATTTATGTTCAGACAAAGAAATATTTGTTTTACTTCACTGGTGGGTCTGCAGAATCAAATGCCCAGTATAGTAATGTGGAAAAAAGTAACATCTCGGGCAAAGATAGGGAAGAAACTAGTTAGTAAGCATACCTAGAGAATTCAGATGCCTTCAGAGCATCACTTACTAGATTCAGATATGAAATTCACCTTCAGGTAGCTAAGTGGCTGAAGATGTTTCAGAGATATTCATGATTATATTTAAATGCACTTCAAGAATAGGTGAGTGAAGCTCAAATCAAGTTCAGTTCCCAAAATAGCCATACTGGGTAAGACCTAGAGTTGGTCCTAGCAGGATCCTGTCTTCTGCAGTGATCAATAGAGGAGTAATGTAATAACTGTCAAATATAGAATGAACTTTCTTATGTATAATTTCTGTGACAAATGAAGTGTCACGAACTTTTTTTGATGGAGATGGTATCAGTTTTTAATAGCTTCTGATGGGATTTCATCTGTGCTGGATCTTCTGTGCAATATTCTCCTATCACTGATTGATTCTTTTAGCTCACATACACATTTATCCTCCTTCATCTGTAACATATAATTTAATTCATACGGACAAGAACTTCCTTTTGTTTTAAACTTTCTGTCTCCGAAGTTTATTGACATCTTGCACTTCTTGTGTTATGAGAAACAGTAACTAACTGTTGTGTTCTCATCTCCAGCAAAGGTGTGTGATTTTACACACCTTTATTGTCTGCCTCTTCAGATGTCTCTTTTCCAGGCTGAAGTAACCCATCTGGGGTACAAAAACAGTTGGCAAATCAACCTGGATTACCCATGCTTTAGTGATGAAACAGAATAATGGTCCCTGTTAGTTTGTGGCAGGTCTGCTCTCAGACTGGAATTAATCTGTAATTTCCTTAGTGACTCAAGGGACAGGATAGAGTGAATGCTTATCGTGGCTGCAGATGACAAACACAGTAAGAGTGTGAGCACACTCTGCAGGGTGGAACTAGAATTCAAAATTATTTTAGCAAGTTGGAGAAGTAATTCTGGGGAAAAAAGCCTGTAATAAGAATAAATCCATATTTTGGCATTTAAGTAGAAACAGTTGCCTGTACAAATCCATCACAAGGAACTTGTTTAGACAGTGATAAATAGGACTAAGGCTGACAAGTTGAGCATAAGTCAACAAAGATCTGTAGCAATTAAAAAGCCACTGTCAAACCAGTCTGTTTAAAGAGGCAGATAGCCTGGCAAAGGCTCTACCTACTTTCAGTAGGGCACACCTGAAGTAGTCTCTGGTATCGATCACCTCATTTAAGGAGTTCATTCTGAGATCCAAGAAGAGCTAAGTAAAAATGATCAGAGAAAGAAAAAGATGTTTAGCTTTTTTAATTTAAAATAGATAAACCTAACAGAAGACATGGTAGTAAGTACAAAATTGGTGGTAAGGTGATAAGCTTGTCTCCTTGTCCACTTGTTGAGATAAATAACAGGAAACAGAATAGTTTTAACTTAAGAAAAAGCCCCTAAGGAAGCATTGGCGGCATGTCCTGGTTTCAGCTGGGATAGTTAATTGACTTGCCAGCAGGATTTAGTGTAAGGATAATGTTGATAACACAGTGACGTTTTAGTTGTTGCTAGGTAGTGTTTATCCTAAGTCAAGGATTTTTCATTTTCCCAAGCTCTGCCAGCAAGCAGATGCACAAGAAGCTGGGAGGGAGTGTGGCCAGGACAGCTGACCCAAACTAGCCACAGGGATATTCCATACCATAGAATGTCACACCCAGTATATAAACTGGGAGACTTGGCTTGGGGGGAGCAGATCAGTGCTTGGGCATCAGCCAGTGTGTGGTGAGCAACTGGTCTGTTCTTGGGGTTTATTCCTCCTTCTTTTTGTTATATTCTTTTTCATTACTATCATTATTATTAATTTCAGTTATTCAACTCTTCTCATCTCAGCCCATGAGTTTTATTTTTTTCCGATTCTCCTGCCCATCCCACTGGGAGCAGGGAGGAGGGAGTGAGCAGCTGCCTTGTGCTTAGCTGCTGCCTGGGGTTAAACTGCAGCACAGCACAAAGTAAAACCCTGGAATCGGTTGTCTGAGACGTGGTATCTCTACCACTAGGGTTTTAAGGACAAATCAAACATCTGTCACGGGTACTTTGGCCTAATTGATTCTGCTGTACAGCAAAAAGATGGATTAATATGACCTTTAGAGATCACTTCCAGTATTCTTTTATCTGTTTTTTGTTGTTGTTGTTCTCCCCCCCCCCAAGATAAGTTGAACTATTAATGTGTTAAATGCTGTTTAGATAGATTATTGATTAATATTTAGTTTCATTTAAGAATGACATCGAAACTGCAACTGTAAATCTGCTTGAAAAAGAACAAGAATTAAACACAAGCAGGCTAACCTTGGAAGAAGCCCAGAGAGAAACAGAACAGAAGTATACAAAATACGAAGAACTGAATAAATCGTTTTTAAGTAAGTATTGAGTAGCTCTGCATAGTGGGGCTTTCTCTTGCTGTTTCCAGAAGCAGCATGCCATAGCCCTTTGTCTGCTCTTGGCTCAGGAGGTCTATGAAACAAGAAAAAGCTGAGCTCCTTTCAACAAGTGAAATCGATAGATTGGCCATAACTTAAACATGAGGCATTTTTTTTAAATGCAAGACTAGTTAAACAGATCACTTACTGACAGGACCTAGTTCTATTTCTAGCAGCTTAAATTTAATGTTCAGTCATTGCACTGTCTGAAAACTCTTCCTTGCTTTTGTAGAAAAGAAAGATGAGGAGGTCCTAGTCAAAAGAGCCGTTCAGCAGTCCATCAAAACTACTGGGAAGCTCCGGGAGGACACGGTAATAACGTACAGGACCTGTACTACTTCTGCAAAGTTTCCACCACCACCTTTATTTCCTCACAGTAAAGACCAGGCACCCATGGAGGCTGGAACTGGGGGAGACAGGCTGGGGACAGACCTTCCTCTCTGTTGCTGTGCTCCCATCTGGGGGATGCCTCAGACCTCAGCCTGTAGTCCAGCATTTATACCGAGCTGCCCTTGCACTTGTTTTTCCATTCCTTAGGCATGTGAGCAAATCAAAAAGAAGCTGGTGAACTAAGGGCATTTGTGAACCTGCTTCTATTCAGGCGTTACTACTATTAGGGCAGGAATTTCTGCTACCTCAGTAACTCGTATTTTAAATGTCTTTCTCTAGCCTTGGCTTTTCACCTGTCTTTCTCATTTCTAACTTCAGGCATTCACTCAGCACCAGTGTGGAGAGAGAAATTTCATAGCTCTGGGGGAGCTGCAACAGCTCAACATGTCTGAGACCTGGGGCATCTACTGCTCCCAGCCTGAGTTTACACAGTGACTGTCTCCACCCTCAGCCCTGCCCCAGCTGACGCGTCCGCGCGTGGTAGCCACAGTGCACGTCACACCTGCTGTGCCTGCACTGGCCAGTCCTATGGTGCATATACAAACAGTCCCAGTGCGTACTGGGGCCATCTGCTTAGGGGTGCTGGGCGTCAGGCAGCCTGGCCAGAGCTTGCTTCAGCTGGGCTGTACATCCCAGGCAAACAACCAGATTGCTTTTGCTTCCTGACTTTCTGAGAAAACAAATACTTTTTTTTAGGTAGAAAAGGAATACAGTCACACCTTCTGGTCTTAACAGGGAGACTTAAGGTGTCTTTAGTTACTGAGAAGCATAAGCTCAAAAAATGACATAAGAGCCTTTTATGAGGCTGATTGGATTGCAGGATTCGTGCCCCAGTAGTCTGGTAATGGGCAAATCACAGAAGTCACATCATCACAGAAATTGTCTGTCCAGAAAAGGGAGACCTGATTCACCAATCACAGAACAGGAATAGCTCAACAAACCAGTTGTGCACACCTGAGTCTCCAGTGACAGAAGAGTGATGCTCACGCCATTGGGTGACCCTGCAACAGGAAGGTGACTTCATGTCAGAGCTGGTTCCTTCCTTGTGAACCATAAGCAATTGCTTCCCCACTGTGTATCTTCTTCCTCATTGTAAGAATCACAGATTCATGGGATGGTTTGGGTTGGAAGAGACCTTCAAGATCACCTAGTTCCAACTCCTCTGCCATGGGCAGGGACATCTTCTACTAGACCAGGTTGCTCAAAGCCCCATCCAACCTGGCCTTGAACACACCCAGGGATGGAGCATCGACAACTTCCCTGGCAACCTGTTCCAGTGTCCCACCACTCTCACAGTGAAGAACTTCTCCCTTACATCTAGCCTAAATCTACCCTCTTCCAGTTTATGTAACATAATTATACCAGCAGTAGTGTGGTCAGCAGCGCTAGGGCAGGGATTGTCCCCCTGAACCCTACATTGGTGAGGCAGCAGCTTGAATACTGGGTTCAGTTTTGAGCTTCTCACTACAAGAAGGACATTGAGGTGCTAGAATCTGTCCAAAGAAGGGCAGTGAAGCTGATGAGGGGTCTAGAGAACAAGATTTATGAAGGGCAGCTGAGGGAGCTGGTGCTGTTTAGCCTGGAGAAATGGAGGCTGAGGGGAGACCTTCTTGCTCTTGACAGCTCCCTGAAAGGAGCCTGTAGGGAGGTGGAAGTCAGTCTCTTCTCCCAAGTAACAAGCGATAGGACAAGAGGAAATGGCCTCAAGTTGCATCAGGGGAGGTTTAGGTTTGATATTAGGAAAAACTTCTTCACTGAAAGGGATGTTAAGCCCTGGCCCAGGCTGCCCAGGGCAGTGGTGGAGTCCCCATCCCTGGTGGGATTTAAAAGACGTGTAGCTGTGGTGCTAAGGGACATGGTTTAGTGGTGACCTGGCAGTGCTGGGTTAACGGTTGGACTTGATGATCTTAAAGATTTTTTCCAACCTAAGCAATTCTATGATTGTATAACAAAAAAACTCTTTTCACTTTACTTAATTACAAAAAATCGTGGGTAAGTGTCAGTTGTCAGTGAAGAGTTTACTATTAACAGCTGGAGCTGAGGAACAAATTGTGGATCAAGCGTGGTGCTGCAGCTGAACAGCTGAAAAACCATACAGAGAGTATGAAACTGCTGGAACGAGACATCTATGAGATCAACAGGAAACTCGACATTGTGAACACCCACAACTGCAGACTCAGATTAGTGAGTACATGGAAGCTTGACAGTGTTCCTTTGCAGTATGGAATCATCAGCATCTCTGACAATTTTTCATTTCACAGAGAAGTAGCTGTGGAAGATGATGAAACATAAACAGCACAGGGCAGACCTAGCCTTTTAAACGAATGTGTGAGGCTGTGTTTAATTGGGAAGGAAACAAGTGGAATATCCAAGGGCAAGGCATCTCCCTGAGACATAATCCGTATTGTACGTCCACTGCCTTCAGCCAGGGACTGTGGGAAAAGCCCTTCCTGCCACAGGAGGGGGGCCAAGCTGGGTGTGAGGTGTAGGTTAGGCCTGTGCACGTCAGAATGTATGCTTTGGAAAATGCTCTGTATACCTTTCAAGCCCCAGGCTATCAGAGTAACTCCTTCCTTGTAAAACACATGAAATAAAAGTGGTCTCCTTGCCAGCTGTTACCAGGCTGCCATCCAGCCCTGAACCCACATCTTCACAGTCCTGTGGATTGCATCTCTGAGATGATCTGAGCCCTGTTTGCTCTGATGCTGCAAGGGCAGCTGCCTGCATCTATGTGTGCTAGTGCTGCACAGACAAGGGACCAGCTACTCCCCAGCCCCACCCGATTCATCCCCCTCCTTATGTTCAATTTACTCACAGGAGCTGAGAACCTCCGATTTTTCTGGTGCCTCTGTTGCACCAGGGAATGCAGTTTATTGTGCAAGACCTGGGCCACCTAACACATTTCAGGCAGACCTGAGACAGGACAAGCAGGGTGCTGGTAGAGCTGATCCAACGTAAATGAGTCCATCCTATTTTGTGGGGGCAAGTGAGGAGGAGTGTCCCTGTTCACACACGACCCGTGCTCCTCTGGCTGTCCTCAGCATCCTCAGCCATTTGACCTGATGCCACAGACATAGCTGGCTCAGCTTGGTTTTGGCAGCTGTTAAAATTTGTTCAAAAAGATGAAATGGATGCTGCTGTTGAAAGAAAGCGTGTCCACAAGAACACATCAACCTTTACACTTCCTTAAGCTGAAACTCAGCTTATCCTTCCTGACCTCTCTAGCAACACTGAAACCATTTGGAAATTAATTAGAAAACTGTGGCAAGTAATCAGTTGTAATTATTTTTTTTTTCACAGTGCAATGCACAGGTAAAAGAAGATATTTTTGCTATGAATTCTGAAGCAGAAAACCACAAGTCAGCAACAGTCAAAATCCTGCATGACCTGGCACTGCTTCATGGTAACATTAATAATTATTTCAAACCAGAAAAAAAAGAGTGACATTTTAAAAAGAATTTATGTCTCTTATGTGCAGCTATCTACCACATTTATCTGTTGTACTCTGTTGTAGATCATATTCTGGAGGGATGGTCAGAGGACAGCTTTATTCAAAAGGTGAATTTCAATTTTCTATTGCACTGCTTTGCATGAATGTATTTCCAGTTACCATGTGAAAAATAAAATTTAGTATTGCAAATAAAGCAATTTTTGAAGTCAAGCAGGGACAAAGTATTAAACCTACGTTTTCTACCATTGTATTAAAGTCTTGGCCATAAAAATTATTTTTCCCAATATTGTTCCTTTTGCTGGTCTTAGATTGAGTCCCTAAACCTGCACAGTCTCCCTGTGTCTAATAACATTATTGCTGTTCTACATTCAGCTCATCAGCCTTGTAATATTTTTCTATTTGGGGGTAGCCTTCAATTTTGAACAGAGATTGAACCAAGCTATCATGTAAGGAAGTTTTTCACCAGTTATTCCATTACAAAGGCAAATGTTGCTTTTTTTATGCAAGGATTGGGTGGCTAAAGAAAACTTGCAGCAGGGCTACAGAGATGGTGACCAGTCAAGCTATGGGAAAACAAGATAAACAAAAGTTTCTTAACATTTTGTGAGGGTTTGTGTTTTGTTGTTTTTTTTTTTTTCATTTAACAAAAACTAAATCCTGCTCTGTGTCATTACAGGAATTTCTGGAATATCAGCAGGAGATACTGAATGCAGTGACAGCTCTTAAAAAAAAAATTCAACAACGAGAGGAAAAGATTGGTGACATTAACAGCAGGCTACAAAATAAGCTGGAAGAGCTGACTTCTTTGATGGACAAAAAATCTAAAATGGATGATCACTGTAACAGACACTGAACTTTTTCTTTTCCACCTTCTTTTTTCCTTTTTTTTTTTATTTTTTCTTTTAAATCCCAAAATATGTTAACTCTTAGCAGTTTGTGATAAAACACAAGTACTAACGCCACGTTCTATCTCATCACTCTGCTGAAGATGGAGACCTAGTGGTGTATTTATCATAAGAACTAGACATGCTTTACAACACAGCCTGGATATTTTCCTCTTTAATTTCTACTTGGTAAAGGCTTGTGATAATAACAGTGAGGGGGCTATAAAATAGTCTGAGCATCACTGATCTTTCCAGAACTGTTTGCTCTCCTACAAAGGATAAATAAAATTAACAGCCCCCCAGCTGCTGTAGGTTGTTGTTGCATGGCTATCACTGTAGGACTATATGGCAAATTAATGTTTATGTTCTCTAGAATTTAACCAGTGGGCAATTTCTACTCCTTTTTCCATTGAAATGAACAATATTCTATACTCCTGTCTTGGGGAGGGGTGGTGTTACACAGGGGCCCTGAGTGTGTACAAAGCACTTGCTTCAGGGCCTCCTTTTAACTCAGGCCTAAGAGACCTGCTGTACTTGTTGGTTCACTGAGGGCTCATTTGTAATGAGTCACAGGTTTGGCCACTGTATGACCACTGTCTTCTTATAGAATGTGGGTTTTATACGTATTCAAGGTGAAAGTCCATGGCAGATGGCTGCTCTGAAACCACTGGGTCCAGGTAACATGGCAGGAAACAAGGGAGAGGAACAACCAATTTTTCAAGGAAGGGAATGGCCCTAGAAGGAAGACAGGCAGAGAGGGGGAGGGTGGTGAACATACAGCAGAAGAGACTCCTGCTTCACCTAAAGGCCAGCGCCAGTGTTAGTTTCTGTCAATTGTGTAGGGCAGGTTTCCTCACAAGGAGCCTTCACAAAACTGTGCTTGATCATTCCAAACTCCATGATTTATCTCGCTGCATCCACCTAATGCTGCCATCACTTCTTGGTGTTTTTTTAATGCCAGTGAGAGAAGGTGATAAGAAGAGTTAATTGATTTATATTTTGCATTCCAGGTTTTGCTGAAGGTTAAAGCTCTGGAGCCAGCAGGAAGGTCAGTGCTTGAGTATGCCAAGCCAGGGCCATGGGGTATGCTGCCTTCCTAAATGCTCTGCTTTTAATAGAGTCCCTCGCTCTGCTCAAACTGAACACATCATCCTCTAGACCTAGCAAAAAGATGTACTCTTTATCACAGCTAATGTTACTTGGGACTTGTTGCTACTTTCCTTTTTACAAAGAAGGTATAACCCAGCATTTAAACCCCATATCTACAGTCCCTGGACAGATGCACAAAAAAGTGTACAGCCCATAGTACCACACCTTTGCAAATGGCTTTTCCTGCCCGATGGCTGCTCCCAGGGACACTCTGCCTGTACTGGTGTGACAGCTGTGCAAATGCAAGCACATGACCGTGGTGAGGACATTTTAAATAAAAATATGCCTATGACTGTCAGTTATGGAAATGGCATTTTAACACGAGTTTTAAAACCATATGTTTCAAACTGTTGTCTAGGTTACTGTGTCTGCAAATCATCACATCACATGTAGCAGCATGGACAGCATTTGATTTCTTGAGATCAATTACTTCCTTAATCCCTAAATAAAACCCTACTTCTGCCTGCAGGACCTAAATAGTTTGCACGCTATTTTTAGAAGCAGTGAACCTGTGAATTGGCATGGCACAGTAAAAAAAGAGACACTATAGGGAAAGCTCTGTCAGGTGTAACAAAATGAAACCTTCTGTGGAGAAAGAGAAGAGCAGCATCTCGAGGCAGCCTGGCTGGGATGACACCCCTCAAAGCCCCTGAGCTGCTGCCAGGACAGAGCCCTGAGCAATGGAGATAGAGAATAGAACAAAAAAGGCAATCTATGGACTGGATATAGAAATATATTTGCAGTGCTGCAGCCAATGATCCAGATAGTGGGAAGAGTTTAAGTTGGGAAGACCTTCCTATTACTCTTCCTTCTATGTTTAGACCTTCAGCACTGCTCTGCTGCTTCCGTCTCCTCTACACGGTAAAGTTAGTGGTGACTAATATACAGGATACACGAGTTGGGTGTCTTCCTGTACACTACAGGGAGGACTAGTGCCTGTCAGTCTGTATTTGGCTTCAGCAAGGCCAAAACTCACTTCTGAACAGCCTCAGAAGTTTTAGCAACTCTTATCAAGGTGTGCACATGAAGATTTTGATGAGCATAGAGCAGAGGTAACAGTGTCTCTTTAAGGAGATGACAATTCTCCAGTTCATTGTATTAAATCTGTGCTGGCTTGGTACTTCAGTGGCTCCAGCAGTGCTTGTCACCGTGGCAGTGATGCTGCATCAAAAGCTGCTCCCCTCTCAGCTGCCACGCTCCTGCCTGCCCCCTGCTGTTGCTGCAGCACGGGTACAGCGGCGGCCACGCAGCAGCAGACCTGCCCTGCTGGCACCACCAGTACACAGAGGAAACGGGCACAAAGATGCCTCCTCCCAGGAAGAAGCTGAGGTGACTGCTGGAAGGTGCAGAGGTGGCTTCACCCACGTGTAGGTAACGGATGCTTCACTGGCTTACCCACAGCAAGTGGTTCGCTGGCAGCTACCATGAAAGAAAATCTTTGTTCTGGTCTTAGATGGGAATTTATAGTTGAGGTGTAAGAAAATGGATTTAGTGGGAAGGATACTACTGTTCATCTTCAGGAAGAGGCCTCCATACATGATGTGCACCGAGCATAAACTATGCTTTACAGATAACCTTACAACACATCTCCTTGCCCTCTACCTAGCAGTCAGACCAAAGCATCATGAGGAATCATACTCAACAAGTTGCTCTGTTTGATGGAAGGAAGATTAATGATAAAAGATCATCTAGCTCCAACCCCTCTGCCATGGGCAGAGACATCTTGAACTAAACCAGGTTGCTCAAGGCACTATCCACTCTGGCCTTGAACACTTCCAGGGATGGGGTACCCACAATTTCCCCAGGCAACCTGTGCCAGTGTCTCACCATCCTCACAATGAAAAATTTCTTCCTAATATCTAATCTAAATCTACCCCCTTTCAGTTTGAAACCATTGTCCCTTGTCCTGTCACTACAGCCCTTGGTAAAGTCTCCCTCAGGCTTTCTCAGAGCCAGGGTATGTGACAAGGAAACCAAGCTCCATGGTACCTTCAAGCTCTGCTTCATTGCAAGTCTACTGCAAACCAAGTTATGCTGTTTTCTTCGGAGAACACCTAAGATACTGTATTAGGAAATAAATATCTAGAAGCTGTACTAGAACGTATCACAAGCTTTAATGTATACCAGTAGACTACAAGGTGCAGCTTTTTAATATTATACAGTCCCACTCGCCTCTAAGTCTTGTATATAAATAAGTTCCTTTAAACCAGAAGTTTCCAAAGTGTAACAAGCTTTAGAATTGCTTATACAGATCATCAGGACAGCGTCGTTGGCACAGGCTCCTTTTAATGTCCATTTCCACCCTCTGAGAGTATGCGTGAGGGCTCCGTGTACTTCGCTGTCAGGAGGTAGAAGAGGGTAGGGGCAGGGACCAAGGCGAGCAACAGCAGGTCCTGCTCAAGCTTATCCAGTTTGGAAATGGAGATGATTCCATAGGCGTGAAGTAACCAGTGGCTGAAGAGGACAACAAGCCTTTTCTTTCTGACAAGAAGATCCTTGAAAGACTTGCAAAGAAAAGCAGAGTATCCTGTTAGCCTGTCACCTAGTACTGGGTCCTTCAGAGAAGTTCTAGGTTGCACACAGACTGTGAAGCCTCCTGGTTCTGAGCCCTTCCAGCATGTAACACAGTTTCTCAGGCCACCATGAGAGAGAAATCTCACAGGAGCTTCCCCAGGCTAAGAGGGGAAGTCATGAAGGAAGAGGCTTAAACAGAGAACACACTGCTGAGCAAAGGCAGGAGCCACGGCGGCCTCTGCTCCTTCAAGTACTGTATAGCACGGGGTTTAACACAGGGAACGTGCTGACCTACCTCCACTTCAGAAGCAGACATGTACACGGCCAGTGTGACCAGAGACAACACCAGTACGATGTATGGGAAGGCGTAATCTGAAGGCAAACAGAGAGCACGCTAGCAGGACTCAGAATGCATGGCATGTTTCAGCAGAGCAGCTTCTCCACAGGTAACCCCAAGTGACCCAAGCTCCTCCAGCCCACCCCCTGTCACCGCATCTAGTCCTCAGCAGGGAGGGTCAGCCAAGCACAACTACTCAACACTCAAGTCTTAGGTTTTCACACTTGTCCTGGTATTTCTAGGTGGAGTTACTGTACACTTAAACCATTAATTGAAAAAAGGCTGGTAACAAGAAAAGCAGTCAGGCTGAGGGGGGATTTTGTGCCACCTTGACATGGTAAGTGTGCAGGAAGCTAAACCAAAAACAGCCCCAAATTCACGCTTTAATACATCTCTGAAATCAGACAAACACTTTAGCAGAGAGTGGAATTAGCTCCCTCTGAAGGAATTTCCCCTCACATGCCCTGCATTCCCTTTTTGGGAAAGGGACATGCTCCAGCAGCACTACAGCATTGGCCAGCAGCCTGCTTCAGACAGGGCTGCAAGCGAACAACCTCTTCAGGCAAGACAGTCACCTTAAAAAACAATCTCACTCTCAAAGCAAGAAGAGTGTCATGTCCCTTCCCTCCTCCCATACGTTGTGTGCAAGTTTATAGGCCTGTTTATGACGTCATTAGGAGAGGACTCACAGAGCAGGCCCCCTCCAACGGCCTGGAGCATGGTGAGGATGGGGAAGAAGTACAGTGCCGCATAAATGCTTTTAAACCGATCAGACTTTCCTAAACCACAGGCAATTTTCTTAACCAGAAGAGGCCGAAGTAGCATCATCAAAACCAGACAGAAGGCGTAGTAGATAAACACAATGGTGTACCTGAAAAAAAAAAAATTTCCTTAAAATGTGCAGTTTTCTCCTGCAGACTCAACTCCGAACCAGGGAATTTAGGGTTAGAGTCAGCAGAGTGTGAAGAAGTTGCACTCACAGGGGGTAGACGGCCTCCTGGGTGCAGTGCAGGGTGGTGAGGTAGTCGGGGCTGGGGTTGTGCAGCATGGTGTACCAGTCTGAGAGCTTCCTCACCCGGCAGGAGCGCAGGTGCGGCGAGCCCGGCGGGTCGCTGGCCAGCAGCGTCAGCACGGCAGCACCACCACACTCCAGCAGGGCTGTCAGGTGCTGCAGCAGTGCCCTGGAGCTGCCCGGGACAGAGAGACAGCCTTACTGCCACGTCCCCAACACCAGAGCACACCAGGGCTGGAATGTGGGGCCCATGCAGCAGAGAGCTTCCCACAGAGCAAATACTCACCGTGACTAAGGATAGGGCTAAGTTCACTGAATGTGAGAACTCGTTTACAATGACTTAGTGTGCCAAATCTGACTGAGCTACGTTGCAGCCTCTTATAGAAATCTGCTGTAGCACAAACCTCCTGCCTAGCGAGGGACGCTGCCACTCCTGCTGCTGCAGGCTCACAGCACCACAGCAGGGATAAGGCACCCAGGTCTCAGAAGGAATGACACTGTTACGTATGATATAAGCAACATTGTCACAGCTGAAAATCCTTCTTAAAGACGGAGTACGGCCACACATGGAACCCTCTCAGCCCCCTGTGTTTGCAGGGCTTCATACACACCAGTCATGACCTCTTCAAAGGCCCAGTCTAGTGCCTAACAGCCACACACAGCTCTGGTTTTAAACCCATTTCTTAGAGAACCTCCTTGATACACCATGCTGCCATGAAGGTGGCATCAGGTCCACTACTAGGACCAAAACCAGGTTCAGTATTCCCAAGGAGTAAAACCCACCCTCACGTGGCCCGTGCACAGCACTGCTGATCTCTGGGTCCCTCTGCAGGTGACTGGCAGGACGGACCTGCAGGAGCCCCGTGTTTGTAACAAACACCCTCCCCAGCTGCCCCAGGCTTATGTGCCACATAGCCCACAGCAGGAGCTGCTGGACAGCTCAGTTCCACACCTCAGCATGATCCCCTGTGGATATATCTCCACTTTCAAATAGCTTCTCAGGAGAAGGGGCGCACGAACCTCTTTTTTCCCAAGTACCACTCAATGAAGAACCAGTGCAACACCAGGGGAAGCATGGCCATGAAGCCCAGGTACAGCCAGTCGTAGCGGTCCGGGGAGCCCACGCATTCCCGGCAGATCTTGTTGTCATCTGTCCTTTGACCTCTAGGGCACGCCTACAGAAAGCAGAGACTGTCTTTACAAACCACCTGAGAACCAATGACCAACCACTGCAGTTCCTGGAAAACCAGCTTGAGGGCTGGGGCAAGAAATGTGCCAGATTTTTAAAGAGGTGAAACACTGCCCCCAGTGATTTCTCAGCTTACGCTGGCTGCGCTCTCTCTGCCTCTTGCTTCTCAACATAAAGCTGAAGCATCTTTAAAAGTCTTTCCCTCTCAGGTGGTCACACCGCCCCCTTTTCATCACTCAACTCACTCACCAGGCCACTCACAACTGCTGCCCCTGCCAAGTCTCTTGCCCCCAGTTAGTTCCACCCTCCCTGGGCCCTGGTCTCCCCCAGCACTCCGGCAGATTCAGTGTGCTGTGTGACTTCAGCACAGCTCCCTGGGCCACCCCGCTCTGCCCCAGCCTCTGCCTGGCTCCAGCGCAGCACTGACCCTCCAGGGAACATCTAATTGAGCAGCTCCTACTCTGGGGGAGGGAGCTCTGCCTGCCCTTCTCATCCCTCACAGAATCATTTTGGTTGCAAAAGACCTT